TCAGTTACTGCAGCAACATCCGGCTACTCTCCGTTCACAGATGAAATATATCTCAACAACACATTCCAAATCATTCCACCGATTCCCACGTTTCGCGATCATCAGACAATGCTCGGGGTTGTTATGTATGTTCTCGTTGTCAGGTTGTCCAGGGATCCAGTTGGTGTAGTTCAGAGGAACGCCCCCCTCCCACCTAAACGCCCCCTCGGTGATGAGATCAGTGGCACCCAACCAGAAGCCTTGGGAAAGAGAGTGCTATCCGTAGTGTTGTAGTGTCACACAATCTAAGATGCACACTTCTAAACGGAATCGAACGAAACGAAAGACTTTGCAAGAAAGTTAATCGAGAGGAAAATGTTGTACTCTTAATAAAAAAGCGTGACTAACGTGAGCTTCGTGGTTTTCGTTTGTTTGTTGTTTAACGCCGAACTCAGCAATATTCCAGCAATATGACGGCGTTCTGTAAATAATCGAGTCTGGATCAGACAATCCAGTGATTGACATCATGAGCATCGATCTGCGTAATTTGGATACAATGACATGCATAAACCAAGCCAGTGAACATGACCACCCGATCCTTTTAGTCGCCTCTTACGCCTTTTACAGCAAGCATGGGTTGCTGAAGACCGATAATACCCCGGATGTTCAAGTGCATATGTGAGGGTTGCCTTAAGTGACCAACCATACCAAAGGCGGCACCTCTGTGAGTATAGGGTAAACAGCACAAGGTGGTAACTGTGTTGTCCCAGGTGAGTATATACGAAGACAAGCACAAGGTGGTAACTGTGTTGTCCCGGGTGAGTATATACGAAGACAAGCACAAGGTGATAACTGTGTTGTCCCAGGTGAGTATATACGAAGACAAGCACAAGGTGTTAAATGTGTTGTCCCAGGTGAGTATATATGAAGACAAGCACAAGGTGGTAACTGTGTTGTCCCGGGTGAGTTTATACGAAGTCAAGCACAAGGTGGTAACTGTGTCGTCCCAGGTGAGTATATACGAAGACAAGCACAAGGTGGTAACTGTGTTGTCCCAGGTGAGTATATACGAAGACAAGCACAAGGTGATAACTGTGTTGTCCCGGATGAGTATATACGAAGACAAGCACAAGGTGGTAACTGTGTTGTCCCGGGTGAGTATATACGAAGACAAGCACAAGGTGGTAACTGTGTTGTCCCAGGTGAGTATATACGAAGACAAGCACAAGGTGACGATGCCGGGGAAGGGTGTTGTTCAAGGTGAATATCGGCTTTGGAGGAATAGCACAAGGTTGGAACTCAGGGGAAGAGTCTTGTTCAAGGTGAATATAGGCTTTGGAGGAATAGGACAATGTGGGAACTCAGGGGAAGTGTGTTGTTCAAGGTGAATATCGGCTTTGGAGGAATAGCACAAGGTGGGAACTCGGGGGAAGTGTGTTGTTCAAGGTGAATATCGGCTTTGGAGGAATATCACAAGGTGAGAACTCGGGGGAAGAGTGTTGTTCAAGGTGAATATAGGCTTTGGAGGAATAGCACAAGGTGGGAACTCGGGGGAAGAGTGTTGTTCAAGGTGAATATCGGCTTTGGAGGAATAGCACAAGATGGGAACTCGGGGTAAATGTGTTGTTCAAGGTCAATATCGGCTTTGGAGGAATAGCACAAGGTGGGAACTCGGGGGAAGAGTGTTGTTCAAGGTGAATATAGGCTTTGGAGGAATAGGACAATGTGGGAACTCAAGGGAAGAGAGTTGTTCAAGGTGAAAATCGGCTTTGGAGGAATAGCACAATGTGGGGACTCGGGGGAAGAGTGTTTTTCAAGGTGAATATCGGCTTTTGAGGAATAGCACACGGTGGGAACTCGAGGGAAGAGTGTTGTTCAAGGTGAATATAGGCTTTGGAGGAATAGCACAAGGTGGGAACTCGGGGGAAGTGTGTTGTTCAAGGTGAACGTCGGCTTTGGAGGAATAGCACAAGGTGGGAACTCGGGGGAAGAGTGTTGTTCAAGGTGAATATCGGCTTTGGAGGAATAGCACAAGGTGGGAACTCGGGGGAAGAGTGTTGTTCAAGGTGAATATAGGCTTTGGAGGAATAGCACAAGGTGGGAACTCGGGGGAAGAGTGTTGTTCAAGGTGAATATCGGCTTTGGAGGAACAGCACAAGATGGGAACTCGGGGTAAATGTGTTGTTCAAGGTCAATATCGGCTTTGGATGAATAGCACAAGGTGGGAACTCGGGGGAAGAGTGTTGTTCAAGGTGAATATAGGCTTTGGAGGAATAGGACAATGTGGGAACTCAAGGGAAGAGAGTTGTTCAAGGTGAATATCGGCTTTGGAGGAATAGCACAATGTGGGGACTCGGGGGAAGAGTGTTTTTCAAGGTGAATATCGGCTTTTGAGGAATAGCACACGGTGGGAACTCGGGGGAAGAGTGTTGTTCAAGGTGAATATAGGCTTTGGAGGAATAGCACAAGGTGGGAACTCGGGGGAAGTGTGTTGTTCAAGGTGAACGTCGGCTTTGGAGGAATAGCACAAGGTGGGAACTCGGGGGAAGAGTGTTGTTCAAGGTGAATATCGGCTTTGGAGGAATAGAACAAGGTGGGAACTCGGGGGAAGAGTGTTGTTCAAGGTGAATATCGGCTTAGGAGGAAAAGCACTGGAGTGTGTTGCCCTGGGTGAGTATAGGATTATGGTGATGATAAATACACGTTGTCCTACAACTGCATTTGAAGACAAATTCACATCTCACCTCTTCCAAGTTCCTTTGCCTTGTGTCTGACGAAGTCGTCCTCTTCTTTGCTTGTTATCCTGGCAAGGTGGCTCCGGAGGAACTGACAGTAGCCCTAACAAGAGAACATTTAGGAACATTATTAGCAGTGTTCACATACTCGAGGAATTTCGACCCCTTATTGGGGGGGGGGTAAACATAGATAATAAGGTAAGAGTCCATAAGAGAGGAGACCTTTTTCAAATTTATGCCTTGTGATGGACGAGTACATGATTGGCTGTGATTCTCTCATCACAACGTATACTCATCTGAAGGTCATAGGTTTTCAACACAATGTTAGGTGTATATCTGATATTGCCAATAAGATGTACAATGGCGTCTTGACATTTCGAAAATTCATGAAGTCTGTTGACACCTACTTTGGTATCCCATATCGTTACTTAACATATGAGGTGAGGTGAGGTGAGGTGAGGTGAGGTGAGGTGAGGTGAGGTGAGGTGAGGTGAGGTGAGGTGAGGTGAGGTGAGGTGAGGTGAGGTGAGGTGAGGTGAGGTGAGGTGAGGTGAGGTGAGGTGAGTGATGTACTTACTCTTGCCTCAGCAAATGATCCTCTCACGTTAGAGAACCAATAGCAAGAATTCCCGTGCTGTGCAAATCCCGTAGGACATTTGGAAGTATCTGCAGCACAGAACAGCAAACACGTTACTCAGTGAATGAAATGTTTGTATAATGCCTTGCACGTTTCATGTAGCTACAGTAAACTACGTTTATAACGAACACGCTTATACCGAACTGACCTATGTAACGAACGTATTTTTAATCCCGGCCATTTGTTGTAATTATGTTGTAGATATGCTTATAACGAACTACGGTTATTACGAACTAAAATTAGTGGTCCCTTAGAGTTCGTTATAACCGTAGTTTACTGTATTTCCATTTGTCGGAGATGTTGAGTAAGTGAGAGTAAACGTTGTTAGTCACAGTCAGAAATACATTTATGACGCTGTGTGAATAATCCGGGGGTGAGTGAGTGAGTATGGTTTTACGCCGCTTTTAGTAATATTCCAGCAATATCACGGCGGGGGACACCAGAAATAGGCTTAACACATTGTACCCATGTCGGGAATCGAACCCGGGTCTTCGGATTGAGCGAACGCTTCAACCACAATCCGGGGGCGAACCAGACAAACCTGTCCACACCGTGGGTGTTTGGCTTTGGTTGGTTGGTTTGCTTCTTGTTGTTTAACGCCGCACTCAGCAATATTCAAGCTATATGACGGTGGTCTGTAAATAATCGAGTCTGGACCAGACAATCAAGTGATTAATATCATGAGCGTCGATCCACGCAATTCGGAACAATGACATGCATCAACCAAGTCAGTGAGCCTGACAACCCGATCCTGTTAGTCGCCTTTTACGACAAGCATAGGCGCCTTTTACTCGCACGCACACACACACACACACACACACACACACACACACACACACACACACACACACACACACACACACACACACACACACACACACACACACACTTTCAGAATATCCACAGTAGTTAAATCCAATGGATAAAATCGGAATTCTTTGGGGTCGTTTATGGATAAATATGCAAATGCAAAACGTCACATAGGTCCAACTTCAGTTGCCCTTGTTTATCGACTGTCGTGTGAAATTATAGTATCGGGGATCTGGACAAGTTAGTAGGATATTTGTGAACACAATCAGAATAATAGCCTAAGATAAAGAAAATCCATTTATAACATGGACATAGCTAAGGCTTTTTACGAACAGTGTGAGTGAGTGAGTTTGGTTTTACGCCGCTTTTAGCAATATTCCAGCAATATCACGGCGGGGGACACCAGAAATGGGCTTCACACAATGTACCCATGTCTGGAATCGAACCCGGGTCTTCGGCGTGACGAGCGAACGCTTTAACCAGTAGGCTACCTGACCGCCCCTTTTACGAATAGTGTGAGCAAACAATGGACGCAAGTGGAATTATTTTCAATTATCTGTGCTCAAACGCCTCGCTTGTTTTCAGTTAATTTTAGACAACATTTTACCTTGTTTCATTGTATCGCAGTTTTGGACATTGTATTCCGTAACGTTGTGATGGCAGACTCTGACGTCACATAGACTAGAGTAGCTTCCCTTTGATTGGCGTACCGATGGATTGATTGATAACGTTGCAACAATTATGTGTAGGCAATTGTCGTTCTAACTACTGAACCAAATTAAAAACTTCACAATCCTAAAATTTTAACATTTTGACCAGTTATCATTGTGGGCCCTTATTGTGTATTTAAACAGTAATGGCCACGTATTGTCTTCAGATAACACCTGTTTTTGTGCAGGTGAATCGATCAAAATCATGTGCACAACACTATAGTTGCAAAAGTGGTTTTTCACGTGCAACTGATCGCGTGGCCATAATACCGCACGTGTTTTCAGCCATACTGACTGACTGACTGAGTATGGTTTTACGCCGCTTTTAGCAATATTCCAGCAATATCACGGCGGGGGACACCAGAAATGGGCTTCACACATTGTACCCATGTCGGGAATCGAACCCGGGTCTTCGGCGTGACGAGCGAACGCTTTAACCACTAGGCTACCCGACCGCCCCGTTTTCAGCCATACTTGTTAGCAGTCATTAACAAAAAAACAAAAACACAAGAAATCAAAAAGTTTTTACGGCTATTTTGCATGCCACGCCTTACAAATGTGCAACGTGATCGTGCCATCTGCATGTTGCAGACGGGAACGTCCGTAGCTGAAGTCGCAAGGACGATGGGTTGTAGTCGACGGACTGTTTATGATTTACAGACGCGTCTACAGCGAACGGGTACCACGGCTGATCGCCCTCGGCCAGGTCGACCACGTGTGACGTCACATGCAGAGGATCGTGAGATTGTCTTACGTCACCTCCGTAACAGATTTTTGACTGCTTCATCAACCAGAAATGAACTGTTTAGGGGTAGAATGAGTGCGCAAACTGTTCGAAACCGTCTGAGAACTGCTCACCTTCAAGCACGACGGCCATATTGCGGGCCGATTCTGACTCAATTACACAGACGTCAACGTCAATTGTGGGCACAGCGACACTTACGATGGACTCAGAGGAATTGGAATCAAGTCGTCTTCAGTGATGATCCCGATTTAGTCTTCGATTTGCTGATGGTAGGGCGCGGGTGTGGAGGCGCCGCCATGAACGTTACGCCCAGTGTTGTGTACAGGAAGTTGACAGATTTCGAGGCGGAAGTGTCATGGTGTGGGGTGCTTTCTGTGGCAATGCACGTTCCAGCCTTCTTGTCATCCGTGGCAACCTCAACGCTGCTGCTTACCGCGACCAGGTACTGGCACCAGAACTTCTGCCTTTTATGGCAGCACATGGACCCGGTTTGATCTTCCAACACGACAATGCCAGACCCCACACAACACTTTTGACAAGGAATTTCCTTCAGAATGCGGGAGTCAACGTCATGGACTGGCCGTCAAGTTCTCCCGACCTCCCTCCCATCGAACACGTCTGGGATGCTCTTGGCAGAAGTCTGCGCACTCTCCAGAACCAACCACAGAATTTGCAAGATCTCGGCACCATTTTGCAGCAACAATGGCGTCGTCTTCCCAATCATGTGTTCACAAGCATCACAAGGTCCATGCGGAGGCGTTCTGTGGCAGTTGTCAACGCACGTGGTGGCCATACACGCTACTAAACTTGTGTGCCATCAGATTCTCGTGCTTGGGACTTATGATTTAAACTGTTGATGTTATTACCGAATACCGTAGGTGCTTGGAACAAATTATGGTTACCACCGTTAATTAAAATCCTTCTTTGGACATTAATGATTTAAAATTACCTTCTCTGATACATTTGTCCGTTGTATATCATATATGGGATTACTTTTAAAAATGTGAAGTTTTTAATTTGACTCAGTATATATGGTATTCACACAAGTATAAAAAAAATATACTAGTTTCAGTTTGAACTATGTTTACTGTTGCCACTGTCTCGCTGACCATGTGACATAATATTTAATGAAAACTTGCAGAGTTTAGGTACTGTTTCTGGTTAGGTTACCGCTTTTAACAGTATTCAAGTTATATCACGACGTGTCAGCTTTGTGATGCAGGTCTTGGACGTTTACCGCTTCGATGACACCCACGAGCACAAGTATGGTGATGACACACCTGGAAACATAACTTGGGCGAACCGGGATTCGAACCCACAATCATAGGTTTCTGGCGTGCCCAAGGGACGCAACTATGCACAGCGAATCGCGGCGCCTCAGACGACTGGGCCACCCGTGGCCCCCTCAACACCAGGGAGGGAATATAAATGGTAAGAGCTGTGCTGACGGATGTCAAATTGGTCTGTGTTGTTAGGTAAGTGTCTTGAAGGCAAAAAGCCGACGGTTCCAAATTTTGAAACAAGAGCTGTATTTCATTAAAAGTATTGCGACCTCTTCAATGCCATTGTATAATGTTTTATGGATTCATGGTTCTTCCACGGGAGATATCTCAAGCGAACGTGGGGCGACAAACAACGGAGGTATGGCAGGACTCGGATCCATGTCCAAACTCTTGTCATATGTTGTTGTTGTTTGTTGTTTAACGCCGCACCCAGCAATATTTCAGCTATATGACGGCGGTCTGTAAATAATCGAGTTTGGACCAGACAATCCAGTGATTGCTATCATGAGCATCGATCCACGCAATTGGGATCAATGACATGGATCAACCAAGTCAGCGAGCCTGACCACCCGATCCCGTTAGTCGCCTCTTATGACAAGCATAGTAACCATTTACGGCATTGGTTGCTGAAGAGCTATTTTTCCCCGGCTCTTCACGGGTCCATAATGTAATAATATGATGAAAGTATTTACCTCCAGCAACAGTTACTGATGCAAGTGAGCACAGTAAGACAGATACAAGTGCGAGCCTCATGCTGCTGGTAGATTGTGCTTCTGTCTTCGCCTCTGGTTTGTCAACTCAACAGTATACAGCGCCGCGTTTGGGCTCGGACCCTACATGCAGCTTTAAATTATTCCAACAAGGAAGTTCATTGGTCCATGATATGTGATCAGCCAATGAAATAAATGGTTTTAAGCGAAATGCCGGATCTGACTGAAATTCCCCATTCTGATTGGTTAAAGAGGGACTACGCTCTACTTCCTGGAGTCGATGGCCAGTCTAGGTCCGACCGTTGTCATTACTTCCCCGTCAGACCATGCATGTTTGTTTGTTTGTTTGTTGTTTAACGCCGCACTCAGCAATATTCCAGCTATATAACGGCGGTCTGTAAATAATCGAGTCTGGGCCAGACAATTCAGTGATTGACATCATGAGCATCGATCCACGCAGTTGGGATACGATGACATGTGACTTGGGTAATCGTTTACTGCTATATTCACGAACATCGAAAGTGCGTTTTGAACTTCATTCAAAGTTTTGTTAGGCTGGCCTTGTTTTCCTTAAATAAACCCGTGAAGATCCGGGGTAGAATAGGTCTTCAACAACCCACGCATGCCGTAAAAGGCGTCTAGCGGAATCGGGTGGCCAGGCTCGCTGACTTGGTTAATGCATGTCATCGATCCCAATTGCGTGGATCGATGTTCATGATGTCAATCAGTGGATTGTCTGGTCCAGACTCGATTATTTACAGACCGCCGTCATATCGCTGGAATATTGCTGAGTGCGACGTTAAACAACCAACCAACCAACCAACCATTACACCAAGGATACGGTTTGGTGTGATGGACACTGATATTTTCTTCACGTTTCCCGATTACATTTACCCGACGTGTGTGACATAGAGAACGCACGACGAAACTTAATTACGTGATTAAAGTTTAAAGGTCAAAGTAAGACCATCGTGGTACACCAATCACTGAAAATTTACATCTACATGTATTCATCAAACACGCAAGGGAAAGCATTTCCACTCTGTGTCAGAATGATTGTTTCTATCAGCAAGGAGCACGCTTCCTGCTTAGATACGCCTTTCCGTTCTTGACTGCACTTGGTTTGCATCTTTCACCCCTGTATTTCTGAATGGTAGTCATGATTGGTTGGTTGGTTGTTGTTTAACGCCGCACTCAGCAATATTCCAGCGATATAACGGCAGTCTGTAAATAATCGAGTCTGGAACAGACAATCCAGTTATTGACATCATGAGCATCGATCCACGCAATTGGGATACGATGACATGCATCAACCAAGTCAGCGAGCCTGACCACCCGATCCCGTTAGTCGCCTCTTACGAAAAGCATAGTAGTATTTTATGGCAAGCATGGGTTGCTGAAGAGCTATTCTACCCTGGATCTTCACGGGTCGGTAGTCATAAACAAAATCACAAGGAAACTTGCACATAGATCAGCTTAATGCAATATTCCAGACATAGTCTGCTACAGACAATCCAGTGATTGATATTATGAGCAACGGTCCCCTGGAATATTGCTGAGTGCGCCGTAAAACGTAAATTCCAATAATTCGAAATTCGAATTTAACTATTGAGGTCAAATACTCTAACGACCTTTATACTCTGTTTTGCTTCATAGATGAGATTATTACTTTTATGTATTTACACAACACATTTTATTCAAAGATCGTGTCCATAGGAGGATAACATTGTAAGGTGAATACCTTTCAAAAAAGGCACGTGAAAATCCAGGGTAGAATAGGTCTTCAGCAACCCATGCTTGCCGTAAAAGGCGAACACATGGAAACAAGTTATACTAGGCTGAAACGGAGGTAGGTGTCGTTTCCGAAGCAGTACTAAAAGAATATTCAACATGTGTAACCCAAAACTTGGTACATGTATTAATTAGGTCTTCAGCAACCAATGCTTGCCGTAAGAGGCGACTATGCTTGTTGTAAGAGGCGACTAACGGGAGCGAGTGGTCAGGCTCGATGACCTGGTTGATACATGTCATCGCATCCTAATTGCGGTGATCCATGATCATGATGTCAAACACTGGATTGTCTGGTCCAGACTCGATTAATTACAGACCGCCGTCATATAGCTTGAACATTGTTGAGTGCGGCGTTAAACAACAAACAAACAAACATTGTGACAACAGAATGTAAGGAGGACACGTAACATCTCTTACTTCGAACACACATTCCAAGTAAGTCTAGGATCTCTTTTGGGATTGTCACTGCACTCCCGAACCATTCAAACCCTCTTCAATCGTCGTATTTCACTATCCGCGATTTATATAATAAGGTCCGGGTTGGAACTGATCTTCAGCAACCCATGCTTGTCGTAAGAGGTTAACGGGATCGGGTGGTCAGGCTTGCTGACATGGTTGCTGCATATCATCGTATCCTAAATGTTCCCGATGTTCATGATGTCAATCACCGGATTATTTACAGACCGCCGTCATACACCACAAACAAACACACAAACAACATTTAACACGTAAACACGTAAACATACAAGTAAGGGGAATGAAAATTCGGCAATGATGAAAACATTTGGTGACGTTTAAAGTGGAAAATGCTTTCTTGATAAACAATAGGTGATGTTACATGGAAAATAAACTACTATTATGGTACAAATAGAGGTGACCAAACAAAAGGTGACTTCGAGTGAAAATGGTGATGATTTATGTTGTGCAACTCTTATATTGAAGACCGCTTCCATTGCCTAATGGATGGAGCGTTTGCTCGGAGAGCGGAAGGTCGGTGGTTCGATTCCCCGGCATCGTCATACTGAAATATATTGAAAGATGGTACTCTCCAAAGACTGGAACGTGTCTGAGTCACTATGAAGTATAGGGGCGGTCGGGTAGAGTGGTTAAAGCGTTCCCTCGTCACGCCGAAGACCCGGGTTCGATTCCCGACATGGGTACAATATGTGAAGCCCATTTCTGGTGTCCCCCGCTGTGATATTGCTGGAATATTGCTAAAAGCGGCGTAAAACCATACTCACTCACTCACTCACTATGAAGTATAAATCCGGCATTGGTACGGCCAAGTACAGCAGTTGCACGAGTTGCCTCCCTTTAAGCACACACATTCTCGCTTGCCTCATTGAGCCATATACATTAAAAAAAAATACAATAGTTGCATTGCAGCTAAAGGGAGGCAACTCATGTCTCCATACCTCGTTAAAAGGAGTTTTAAAGTTAAATTGTGCATCAAAATGTTTTCAATTAACGGCGAACAAGTCGAATATAGCTCAGTCACGTTGGTTTGTTTGTTGTTTAACGCCGAACTCAGCAATATTCCAGCTATATAACGGCGGTCTGTAAATAATAGAGTCTGGACCAGACAATCCAGTGATTCATATCATCGATTATTAACAGACCGCCGCCATATAGCTGGAATATTGCTAAGAGCGACGTTAAACAAACAAACACACTTTGTGTGACAAAAACATCTAATTCAAAATGATTTACAGCATATCTAACTGAAATAAAGCTTACAATACACCGTCTACATGGTCAGGTGAAACCCGCATTGCTTGTGTCAATATTGACCCTCCAGCATCTCTATATTTCCCGTTACAAGTGCCACACCTGATGTCACAGTGTATGGTGTTCATATGTATTCAACAAGTTCGTCTTTGTCTGGGTTTAAAATTAAGCTGAGTGCCAAACATTGTGACAGACCCGTGAAGATCCGGGGTAGAATAGGTCTTCAGCAACCCATGCATTCCATAAAGGCGACTGTGCTTGTCGTAAGAGGCGACTAACGGGATCTGGTGGTCAGACTCGCTGACTTGGTTGATGCAGGTCATCGTATTGCGTGGATTGATATCAGCTCATATCAGTCACTTGATCGTCTGGTCTAGACTCGATTATGTACCGCCCGCCGTTATACCGCTAGAATATTGCTGAGTGCGGCGTTAAACAAACAAACAAACAAACAAACAAACAAACAAGCCCTCAGAACAAAGGACAGGTGTGGACCAGATGTGCACCTAAATCAGCATATTATGCTGCCAGTGCGATAAACATGTAGTTGCTATATGCTCAAACGACACATTTGGTATAATTTGAAAATAAGTTCTCTTTATGTTTTGTCTTTCTTCCAATCGATATCTTTCAAATCAAATCGGATTGATAATCCTTTCGAATAACGTCCTCAATTATATGCAGATATGACAAAATTACTGCGATAACAGTAAGCAGCATCCATTCACGCAATCACTCATTACCTTTGAGCCATCACGATGTACAGATACGACTGTTTGTAAATAATTGTACTCGATGTTAACTAACGTCTCGGTGCCCGACAATTCGTGTAAAAACGTGGACACTTATGTTCGTATTTTCTCGCCTTATTGAGAAGTATTCTGTACTAAGCTTTATGTCGTGTATAACTAATGAAGAATACGTGGAGATCCGGCTTAGGATTCAGCAACAAATCATGAGGGATCGGGAGGACAGACTCACTGATTTGGTTGATGCATGTCATCGTATCCCAATTGCGAACATGATTCAATTACTGAATTTTGTGGTCAAGACTCGATTATTACAAACCGCCGTCATGTCACTGAAATAGTGCTGAGCGTGGTGTTAATCTATCCATCAATCATTTCATCAATAATAATTGACAAAGAGGACATAAATATTGCATTTTTAGCAATAATCCAGCAATATCAGGACGTGGGACAACAGAAATTAGTTTTACACACTCTACCCATGTCGGGAATCGAACCCGAGTCTTCGACGTGACGAGCAAACCATAATGATAACTGATAAAGAAGACATGTACTTTGCATTTTTAGCAATAATCCAGCAATATCAGGACTTTGGATACTAGGAATGGGCTTCACACAATCTACCCATGTGGGGATTCGAAACAGAGTTCTCGACGTGACGAGCAAACGCTTTAACCACGAGGCTACCCAAACGACCAAAGAATTCCATGAAGATTCAGTGGGCATGTTCGTAGAAGCCGACCATATTAAAATGCCTTATGAGGCTGATACTGTG